GGCCCTGCCATACCCAGCTTCAGTTCCACAATGTAGGTGACCCGGAAGCCCTCACACACGGATTGTTTTCTATGGCCCTAGTCATGCCCATTCGTATTGGATGGGCAGAGTTCCTGGGGCAGTTTCAGGACTTGCTGGTGGGGTCAGGAGCTGGCCCCCACCCAGACCTCTGTACAGGGCCCAACAAACCCTTGTACTTACCAAACCCTCCCTGGCAGCCTTTCCAGCGGCACCCACCATGCCAAGCCCCAGGCAGAGGCACCAGGCACACTTAGCCATTGCTAGGCATGTGCCCAGCCTCCCCCAGCCAGACGTCGCCCCACGTCCACACAGCCAAGAGCTGCAGGGGGAAAGCTAGCCGCCACCACCCTGACCTCTGCATCTACAGCCAGCCTGGAATGAGGTCACGGCCCACAGGCCCAAGGCTAGGCTCCCTGCTCCTCCTCCAAACCTTCCCTTCCTCCCCTTTCCCCCAGCTGGCCTTCAGACATGGAAAGCAGGAGCTCTTTGCAGCGAGACAGGCCAGCTGGCGGCCCTGTGAGGAGACTGCTACTGCCACACTGTGGGATCTTACACCTACTGCAGCAAGGGATGCTCTTCCTCCTTGACCTCCCGATCAGATTCCTCTCAGGAGCAACTCTCCAAGAGGTCTTTGGAAAAGTTAAATGTGTGTTTATGTCCAAGAGATGAGTAAGGACAAGGCAGAGCCCGGCCCCTACCTTGTGCTCCAGCTGCACCGCCCGGCTTTCCAACCGCCTCCTACCACTCCCGGGCAAAGCAACTTCTGCCCAGCAAGGACTGGCATCATGCGGAGCGGCCCAGTCGCTACCTTGATATACTCCAGGATCTGAAACCCTCCTGTGCCTGGTAGCCAGGCTCAGACTCAGCATTACCAAATGCCATCAGCGCTGAGGAGCCCAACCATATCTCCCCAGCGATGCTCCTCCATCCCCCTGGCATGGCTCTTGGTAGGGACAATGGTGAACAGCCCATCCCCCACCCTCCTCAAGGTTGCACCCAGAGCATCTGACTTGCTGCACTTGAACTGAAAATCACACACAATAGCTGAACGCCCTTTCCTCTCCTCCATGCGCAGGCCCCAGTAGCCACCGAGACTAGGCCCTCAGCCCAGGGGCCGTGGTTGCTCCCTCCCTTGCCCCTATCCATGGTCTGCCACAGGTTTAGAAACTAGAAAGCTCACAACCCCAGGCACCCGCATGGCCCAGGAAGGAGATTCTCCAGACCTGATCAACTCCACTCAGCCTGGTCTCCCGCTTCTGGCCTTCAAGGGAATGTGTAAGAAACCCTCTGTGGGACCATTATAAAATCAACTGACCAGAAAGTGACTCCGGTCAGGAAGAAAGTCAGTGGTCAGCTTATGCCCTGAAGCAGGAAAGTTTTTGTTCTTCCTGTTTCTGTAACCTGCCTACCATAGCTGAGGGTGTTCTCACTGATTACATAAGTGTCCAATCATTTGACTGCTAAGGTGGCCTGGAGCAACATACCTTGTGGCAATGAGTTCCGCATGCTAATTGGGCAAAAAAAAAAAATTTAAATGTTCTTTTATCAGTTTTAAATTTGCCACCTTTTAGTTTTATTAAATTTCCCCTTGTGTTATGAGAGAATAAAGAAGAATAGCTGGTCTACCTTCTCCATGTCATTCGTTATCTTACATACCTCTAGCCGCCCAGTCCCCCTCATTCATAGGCTCTCTAAAGGAAATGGTCCTGGTCTTTCCATTCTTTCTCCATTTTTCTAGGGTGTTGGAAGTTTATTCTGTGCGCTTTCCCCCACACCAATTCCTGCTGTGCTACTCCAGATGAGGGTGTACTATTACTGAAAATATCCCATGATATGAGGTATTATTTTCTAGGCTATTCCTTATGCAGCCTAATGTTTTGGTTGCCTTCCAGCCACTGCTGCGTTCTGCCCTGGAGTCTTCATTGAGCTGTTCACATTGACACAGGAAGCAAGCAGGCAGAGTTCATTTAGAACCTAATAAGTTATTCTCTCCCATATTTACAATTTAATCCAGCAGCGTGCTACCCATTCACTTAACTCAGGGGGAGGCTCTGAAGTTCCCCACTCTCGACTTACCTAAAAAATTGTGTCATTTGCACATTTTGCCATCTCCTGGTTCATCCTCTTTCCCAGATCACCATTAGTACTTGTTTTGTAGTAGCACCTAAGAGCCTCAGTCATGAACCAGGGCCCCATGCGCCAGGCGCTGTACAAACAGAACAAAGGGATAGTTCTCATCCAAAAGATCTTCCGAATGCTTTAGACACCAGTGCTAGAGGGGAACGCTATGGCTCCCCCAACATTGCCTTCTACTATACTAACAATTAAGCATTTATGCCTACTCTCTTTTCTATTATTAGCCACTTTCTAGTGTAGGACAGTACTTTGCCTCTCAACTCCAGGACTACTTTGCTTCCTTAGCCAGTTCTTTTGAAGGACTTTGCCAAAGGCCCTTTGGAAGTCCAAAGAAGCAATTTCATCTGGTACTCCTTTATCCACTATTTTGTGGACATACTATAGAGTACCTGTAGCACATTTTCTTATCTAGAATCTGTGCTGTTTTGTAGCCATTGCATTAATTTAGGAGCTTTATAGTCATCTCATCCCAGCTGCAGTAAGGATCACCAGTGTAATTCCCAGCACAGGCCTCAAAAACTCTTTAAAGAGAGCTACAACAGACGCTGTCCTTGGGGTACAGCTGGTTCTACCCCAAGGACAAGGCACGGGTCTGAGATTCATCTCAGCCGGAATAGGAGCATTTGCTGCCCTACCTACAGACTCCCACCCACCCCACCTTTGCCCATGACGGTGGATTTGCTTTGATGATTTTTTAGACTAACATTTCATTCCCCAGCACAGCACCATGTCTAAACAGCCAGCAGCATCTCAATCCCATACAAAGAGTGCTCACTTGTGATTAGAAAGGGGGACTGGAATGCCCAGCTTTGGTGCCCACTCCTTGTACAGCTTTATCATTGGTTTTCTGTGCCTCAGTTTCCCCCATCTATAAAAGGGGAATACCCACCTTATGGAGTCAGAGTGGGGAGAAAGCAGGTGTCTTTAAAGCATTTCAGACCCTCTACTAGAAGGCATGTGGGAAGAGTACAGCTGCATTAACAATATTTCACTCTGGAGTCCCCATGTGCTGGGTGCTGTACAGACACGGCGGGTGGGGTTGCTAACGGACCCCAACTGCAGGACCCTAAGCCTGCAGGCCACACTTCCGTGCTTTGTTCTTGAGAGGGGACAATTTTCTACTCAAAAGAAACTCCCAGACCAGCTCATTTCACAAGTTCATGTATTTAAATATACAAAAGGTCTATACATGAGGGTCTCACATAAAAAACAGCTGAGAGTGAAGGACACAGAAGTGGGGCTAGAGAGCAATCAGTTAGTCTGTTTTCAAGTAACAAGGATTTGAGGCAAGACTGTGGAGGGTCTGATCCTTGAGGTGCTGTCAGGGGAGATGGGATGGTACAGAAATCCACATGGGGCAGAGAGGTGACCAGCTCCCAGCGCTGTGTTCTGGGTCTAAAGGCAAAGGAGCACATGGATTTTTGGCATTTGATGTCTTTGGTTTCGTGTAACTTAGATGGCAGGGGAAGTTCTCACCGCATCGCACCTCTGCCTTTCGATAAGGCTGGGATGTTTAGAAGAAGTCACCAAGACAGTAACTAAGGGAGCCTCTGGGCTGATATGTACGTTCCATTCAGAGGTGGATCATTTGATCCAAGACAGATCTCTGGAGAGTTGACCGCTCACAGAAGTGCTCTGCTTGGCTTAAAGCGTCAGTCATTTCAGCCACAAACGTGCTGTGGTGAACCCCCAGGAAGAGAGGGACCGGAGAGGGTCTCTCAGATTCCATAAGGCAACTGCTAGTTACGCTAAAATAAATATCCCCCCAAACCTGTGCATTAGAGACTGAAGAGCAGGAGGATGTAACGCCCGGGACACAGCGTGCCTGTGACCCTCCTGGGCCTGGTCCAGGCTGCTACTCCCCACAGCTCCTGGCCCACAAGCAGGAGAGAAAGCAGTTCATGGCACCCGCCCAGGGCATTCAGGCACACCCGGCGGGGCAGAGCACTCCCAAGCTGGGCAGTGGCAGACAGCAGAGAAACCTGAGTGAAACAAGAGCCGTCGCCCTACGAGACTAGTAGCAGGGATGTAAGAGACGGCCCTGGGCGGGCAGAACTACGTGGGTCAGAGGGAGGATGGGAGCAGGACGGGTCAGAGTCACTGGAGCTGACCTGCAGCAGATCGATGGAAGCACAGGGGGGCCATTCCCTTGGGACAGTGACAGGGCACGTGAAGTAGCTCAGGAGAATAGCTCCATGGTCTAAAGTGCCGCTAACCCAGCTATGGAGGAGTCATGCTAGGGCCCAGCAGAACAGCAGGGGGGTCGAGAGTGAAGCCCACACGCAGAGTGCAACAGGCCTGGTGCTGGGCTATTTACACCGAGGGGGATGGGGACCATTGTGCGTAGAGGCAGCTCCTGGGGCAGAGAGAGCAGCAGGATGTTGACAGGAAGGTACAGGGACCTATCAGGACAGGGGAGGGACAAGATATTTACAGTGGAGTGTATGGGGACCTCCTGCCCCATTAGAAACAGCAATCTCCTCTGCCAGGCATGTAGCAGGAAGTGGCACATGGCCCCAGGGAGACACATGCCGCCCTGGTGTGGCAGCCAAATCATGTCAGGTTAAGATTCCTGGTGAAGCCCAGCTCTTGCGGGCTGACTAACTGTCCTGATCCGGCTGCACCGTCTTCTTCCTCGCCCGGCCCCGCACCAGCCTGGAAGAGCCCTGCAAGGGAGGAGAAGCGAGTCAGGCCTCCTTCGAAGCACTCGCCCCACCAACGTCGCTCCGTTAACGCCCCACCAACGTCGCTCCGTTAACTCCCCTCTCCCAAGGCGGCTCCATGTGCTGAGCTGCCCCCCAAGCAGTCAGGGTGCCCTTTAGAAACCATGATGGTGGAAACAGGCTCCCACCTTCCCCCCCACCCGAGGGCACAGCCCTCCCCAGCACCGAAGCCCGGGGCAGACACTGGCACAGCTCCCGGCCCATGGGTCTCCCAGGACAGCAGGGCTGGTGCAGCAAGGCAGGACACAGTCTGCTTGAATCTTCACCTCTTTGACTTGGGGTCTCTTCTTCACGACGCGCAGGCTCTGGCTCCTGGAGATTGTTTTGGATAGCGCGAAGTCCCGGCTGCGGGGCAGAGTCTTGGGAGAGATCTGGGAGTCCGACCAGCACTCCTCTTCCTCCGTGTCACTCTCGTGCCCAGGCTGCCGGCCGGCCGAGGCAGTTCTGTAACCTTTTGGGTGGCGGGGGGGAGAAAGCCCAGTGCTGGATCAGTGGATGGCACAGGGGTGGGAGTGGATTCCTGCTGCAGCCCTTGGCACATGCTCATCTCTTTAGAAGCCAAGTGCCACGCTGGCAAGAGGGCAGGCTTTGAACCCTCCACTGCCTTTCGCAATGTTCTCTAGCCACAGCTGCTAATTATCAGAGGCTGCTTCTGAACCAGGCTCGCTCCAAATCCCTCTGCCTGCCATGAGCACAGATGTGTAATTGGGGCTTTGGAAAGCCAAAGTCAGGGAGACAGGCAGAGAGCTCTGGTTGCTACGCTGAGGACTGGGCAGGAGGAGCCTTTCAGAGAGATTCCCCCTTTCCTCCCTCAACACCTTCAGTTTGTGCCAATGTGATGTTGTTAACTCTCAGCTCTTATCTAGCACTTCTCATCCCTAGATCTCAAAGCACTTTACAAGAGGAGGACATTACCATTATCCCCATTTTACAGATGGGAAACTGAGGCACAGAGGTGCAGTGAATTGCCCCAGGTCACACAGCAGGCCAGCAGAACCCAGGTCTCCACAGTCCCAGTGCGGTGCTTTATCCACTAAGCCACACTGCCTTCCAGCAATGAGGCAAAGCCATTGCAATCAGGACAATGCTGTCTCCCTTATGGGCTTCAGTTTTTGCTCTTCTCTAGCACCTTCTGTCAGAGCACCATAGAGTGCTTTACCGACACCAATTAACCTGGCGAGCCATCCTCCAGGTGGGGAAACTGAGGCTGGCAGACATCAGGAGCAACTCACCCAGCACCACAATGCCAGGAATAAAACCTAGTTTTCCCAACTCAGTCCCAGGCCTCGCCCTGAGCCATCTGCCCTTCCTCTACCCACTGGCCCTGCAGAGCTGCTCCCACACCCTATACGTGCAGCAAGCACGTTCTATGCAGGAGCTGGTATGCCCCCTTCCAGCCAGCCGCACCATTCTGACCAGCTCTGGAATCCCGCTCACCCCAAATCCTGTACACAGGGTCCATCTCCCACAAGGCTTTCTAAGTCACACCTTCCCTCTCTCCAGTTTAGGAGATGCTGGAGGCCAGCCTGACCCGACATTAGCAGCGTTGCTGCAGGAGGGGAGTTTGGCCACAAACCCACCCTGCCTCCTCCTCCAAGTGTGGAGCAGCTCCCCTCCTGCCCAGCCCTCTGCCCCTTTGGAGGTGAAGCCTTGGACAGGGCTTGGGCCCAGTTCCTCAGGAGAGTCCTGGCCCCAGCCCCATCTCTCGGTGGCCAGGGAAGTCTCCCCAGCCCAGCCCCGGATCCGAAGGAGCTAGCCAGCACCCAGTGGGTTACGGGTTCCAGAGAGAACTAAGCTGCACTTCCGTTAGAGCTTTTACAAACCCTAGATCCCCAGGACTTAGTCCCCTCCCCTCCATGCTCTTGCCTCTCACCTATCGGCCGCCTCCTCATCTCCTGCTCCTCCAGGTACAAGGGGTCTTCGTAGTGCACGGGGGCATCGTCAGGGATGGCACGCAGGTCCTGCATGCTGAAGCTGCGCAGACGCCCGGCCAGGGCTCCCTGGCTCTGCCAGGCAAACGGGATGGGGGAGATGGTGAGAGACCAGGTCAGGGACACCCTGCGTTGAAGTCACACACCAGGCTGCAGTGGCAGCTCGGAGCACCTAGATCTGCTGCCGCAACTCAACACCCAGGCAAGGAGGGGCAAGGGGCTAGTTGCACCATGGCCAAGTGACTCCTGCAGAGAATGGAGCCTCGGGGGAAGCTTCATGCAAAGTACTGCCCCGTGGGGGCTAACACAGCTGGGACAGTCCATAACCCCAGTGGGTTGTTGGGTGGGGGTGGTTCACCCCGCTGAATAGAGGTCAGGTAGGCATTTACCAAGTAAACACAGGCACTTAAGTGACACGTCTCACCTAGAGATCTCAAAACGCTTTACCAGGCGGGTGCCCACTGGCTAGACAGGGACCCAGGTACAGAAGAGAGGGAACTTGCAGCAAGTCAGGAACAGAACCCAGTCCTGAGTGCTAGCCCCTTGGCAGCACGGCTTGCTTTGAAACACCCAGCTCCTGGGCAGCCAAGCCTGATTATTTCCTCTGATTTTTCCACTTGGTAGGAGGCCTCTAAGCAGGATGTTATGTGCCTCAGACACTGGGGGTGGGGAAGGTTACGGGAGAGCTCAGTGGAATCCAGCTTAATAAGCACCTGGTAAACAGGAAAAACGGGCAAAGCTGCATCTGTGTGCGAGGTGCAGAGACGGGGCGGCACGCTGGTCCAAGGAGAGCAGCAGCAGCAGCAGCAGCAGCATTACCTCTGGAGGGGCAGGAGCAGCGAGTTTCTGGCTAGACTGTGGGGTTAAACCTAACCTCAAAGCCACGGTAAACTAACAGTAACCTGGGCATGCATCTGGAACGCTAGGGCTGCGAGCTGCCAGGAGGTGTGGGTACCACACAGCAGCCCCAAGCACGCGGTCCACGCCATGGCACAGTCTGTCACTGGCATCTGCCAGCTCTGCTGGTTTTTTACTGGGATGTTCCAAGGCCACAACAGCCTCCCAAATCACCCAGGGAGATCAGGTACCTTAGCTGCAGCTTGGACGGCAGCTGTGGCTGCGATGTTGAGGCTCTTCTTGCCGAAGTTCACCATGGTCTCGTAGCCGCGCTCCTTGGCCTGGGTGATGTACAGGTCGATTTCCTGCAGAGACACAGCACAGTGAGCATTCCCCGGGGCCAGGCCCAGATCCCACCTTGGGAAGGAAGAAGAGGAATCCACCTGCTCCAAGACACAAGGGCACCAGGAACCCCACACAGCTGTGCCAGCGGAGAGGCCTGAGCCAATGTCCGCCTGGCCTTGGGAGCTCTGTACCCCTTAAACTCAACTGCAGCGCTAGCTTGTTCCAGTCGGGGTCTCGCCTTGCCATCCTACCCCGCACATTGCTTTGTTTGGGAGGAGTTACTGAGCTATGAGCCCCACGGGGCCACGTCTTCCACTCATGCAGCACTGGCTCCTTCCGATGCGGGCGACAGAGATACAGAGTCCATGCAACTATACCCCTACACCGAGAACCATGCAGGAATCCTGCACACAGCCCTGTTACTGCCCCCCCCACACACACCCGCCCCCCCCTCTCCCCCCCCGCTAGGGCTGGGGAGTTCAGGGTTAACGCAATGGCTTTAAAGCCTCCTAGGAAGTTGAATAAAAGCCCCCCCACCAAGGAACTGTCCTTTAAATGGATTTAAAGGGAGTTCAGCAGGTCAGGCAGAGGAGCATTGGCAGAGCTGTGCGGGGAAGCTCAGGACTGGAACAACAGGCAGTGCTACAGGGCAGGACTGAGGGACAACAGCAGAGATTTTAAGATCAAGACCAGATGACTTTTTTTTTTTTGTTTTTTTTATAAATAAAGAAAAAGTTCTAGCTCAACCACAAGGTATGTGCTAGATGCAGGAAGTCCTGTGGGAGGTTCACTGGCCTGTACTATGCAGGAAATCAGAGTAGATGGTCAGAATGACCTCTGCTGGCTTTTAAAAAAAACAAAACAAAACTATGACTTGGCTGGGGCTCTGAATTGTAACAGTGAGGGGGATGCGGGTCAGGATTGAGGGGTGTTGGGAGAACAGGGTGCAGAAAGGCTGCACAGTGCCTGCTTCCATTCTGATCAGCACGGCCAGCCAGCCCCTCACTTTAAGTGCTAACAATGCAGCTACCCGAGGGAGGGATGGCGGCTTTGCTGAACCTCAGAAGCACAGCGAGAGCGTGGGGACAAGTGACCCGTTACCTTCTCTCTGCGGGACAGCGTGGGGTGCACGAATTTCCGGTAGAGCAGGCTGGCTCCCTTGGTGTAGGGGGAAAGCAGCCACACGACAAATGCCATCTTGATCTCATAGTAGAAGGGAAACCTGCCAGATTGAGAATGCAGCAGTGAGGGGGTACCCGTGGCCCCCAGACCCCAACACCTCATGCCTCTGCCCTTCACCCTCATGGCGAGATGGCTCAATGCAGAGCAACTCAGCGGCTGCAACCCCCATTGCTCTGTCCACCAAGAGGGGGAGTGGGGAATTTCAGGGAGCTTTCTGCTTCTGGACTGAAAGGATTGCAGGCTGGGGCTGGGGAGCAGCTATCAGGTCCAGCGAGTCCCCCAGCTCATCCCCAGTGGGCATGAAGGGAGAGGGTCAATCAATTCCACCCTTGCTAAAGCAGGACAGAGAGGGGCTTGGCAGCCCACAGGGTGGTGGCAAACACGCAGGAGACCCAGATGGACGGATGAACAACTGGGATGGCACGGAGGGGGTTGTTCCTTCCCTTCCCCTTGGCATGCGGCAGTGGATCAGAGGGCACTTGCAGACCCTTTGAGGCCACGTCCTGGGACAGAAACTAGGATATGGGTGGGCAGACAAGCAGCTGTGGGAAGGGACAAGCCATAAACCCAGCCCACCTCCCTACAGCGGATGGCTAGGCTCAGGCATGCTCCAAGTGACATCACTCTGAAGCATCAGTTCCTTGTACAGGATACGGCCCTGCAGTGGGCTCTGTACGGTCCAGAGGGCCTCCTGCAGGGAAGCCACCCGTGCCCACCAGGAGGAGGCCCTCAAGGCTGGTGCCTTACCAGGAAACGAACGTATCCGTGAGGGTCTCCGTAGCCATGAAAAGCGCAAACACAATCCAGTACATCATCCAGCGGACCTGCAGGGACGGGGGAGCAGGTTAGCCAGCACGGACCGTGACAGCCTTCCCCTTGCACATACCCATGCCAGCCTGCAGGGCTCAGAGCCAGCCGAGGAGGGGAGGGGCAGGCTGCCACGCAAGCCCTGGGGTAGCCCTATCTGCCTTTCACAAAGGGGGTAGGGCCCTTCGCCTGCTATTAGCCCTCGGGTCCAAGCCCCCAGACACATTTCCCCACCCCTGCAGTGGTCAGAATGCCACTCTGCTGCTGGAGGGGGCACGGCTTTTACAGCAGAATCGCATACCAGCCCTTGAGTTTAGGACCATGGGAATTTAATCCCTTTGGAAAAAACATGCCTGGTGCTTCACACACACGAGTTCATCCTCGCTGCCCCACAGGGTCAGCCCGGGTCACCGTCCCCACAGCAGAGGTGGGAGACAGGTGCATAACGTGGGGATCAGAGCCCAGGCACTCAGCCTCTCCACACTCATCCCTGCTCCCAGCAAACCGATCGTGCACCCCCACCCCACTGCCCTCTTGTTGCCAGCCTCAGGGGGGCAGGGAAATCAGCCCTGCTGCTTTCACGTCTGGCGCAACGCCCCCCAGGTAATCTGCCTCCCTGGTCTCTTCCCTAGGGTCCCCCTCCCCACCAGGTCCTCTGTGCCTGGACACAATAACTCACAGAGCCCTCCCCGCTCCTCATACTCACGTATTCCCGGATGTTCTTGGTTTTCACTGCCTTGTAGGAGGCATAGGCCGGATAGAGCATCCCGAACACCAGCCTGTAACAGAGAGAGGGGGTGAGAAAGGCCGGCCACCACACGTAGAGCAGGGCCAGCAGAGAGAAGCAGCATTGCCTGGCTCTGCTCCGCAGCTTTGCCTTCACAGCCTCCAGCACCATGCTGCCCCGGTGCCTCTGCCCAGGGAACGCTGCTCCTCTCCCTCTGGAGCTCCAGTGAAAGGAGACAGGGCGGCAGCTGACTGGCAGCAAGAAAGATGCAGCGGGAAGGACTCGGTGGTGGTACCGGGAGGGAAAGTAGAGCCTGTATCCAGGCCAGCTCCCTGTGACACAGGGCCACCCTCCCAAGCATCCCAGGCAGGCAGAGCGCCTGAACCCCATGACAGATACCAGCCAAACCAGTAATTAGCCAGAGCAGCACAACTTCTGCAGAGCCTGCAGGCGATCCTGACGGCTACACCCACTTCCCAACGGGGAACAGCTATTAGCACTGACAGGTCAGGATACGCCACATCCTGCCCACGCTCACCTGGCCCACGTGCACCAGCCCTCCCCAGGTCACCCCATTTCACAGACACATCACGGCAGTGGAGCCAAAGCAACAAGCGGAAGGAAAGCTCAGGTAAATCCAGCGTGTCAGGCAACTGCCCCGACCGGGGCTGCAGTGTGTTCAGGATTTAAGCCCTTTTCTGAGCTAGTGGCAGGTTGTTCTGTAGCATGGTGCTACCTCTGCCACCCTTCAACCTGGGTCATGTCCTGCCCCCCTCCAAGCACCCTTTAATGGGGAGTCTGATTTCAGGTCCTATTTCCCTGACACACTTCCTGCTCCAGCCTTCAAACTCTAGGGCGTATCAGTCTCATCCATAGCATCATCCCTCTGGACTGCATTCCCCTCCCTGCTACCAGTCTGACGGCACCTGTGAGCACACACCTGGAGCATGGCTAGTTAACGTGCCTGGGCTGCCACACCGGCTCCTGGTTACACAAGCCAAGCCAGTCCAACGGGCTGCTGCTAAATCACAGGATGACATCAGGCTGCACTTCCTCGCCGGAACTGGTTACCAACAGGTTCCAACACACTGGGGGGAGGGGAGGGACACTGCTAGAGCCGGCCCATGGGGCAGGGCATGGCCCTCGGGAACCTGGCCCTGCTGCCAGAAGTGCTGAAGTGGAGAGGGACACGGGGGAGCAGGGCACTGGGAGAGATGGGGAGCAAGGAGATGGAAGGCTTCTGTAATGCAGCAGCAGCGAGCAATGGTAGAGTCTGAGCGAGGCTGCAGAGCCGTGTGGGCAGCATGAATCACCCTGAGAGAACAGCACCAGCCAGCCCCCGGCCCCAGCAGTAGCTGCACTTCTCCCAGTTACTCCCATGTGTCTCGTTCAGATGAAATTTATTTTAAAAAACACATAGATGACATCATCCCGAACCCAGCCCCCGCTGCATCGCATTCCTGCCGCCACCAACCGAATCCCCTGCACCCTCTTCCGAGCCAACACGAAGGCAGGAGATTACAATCAGCAGGTACCTCTGCGAGTCCAGGCACATGCAGTCCCCCTGGTCAGCCTGACAGCTGAGAGGCAGCTGCATGGACACCCCATCCCGCCTGTGCGGCCCACCACAGCTCCTCTTGGGGAATTCCTCAGGCACATCTGGCCTCTGCTGCTTCACCCAGATGGCACCGGAGCTGCAGGGTGGGGTGGCTGAACTTAGCCTCACTCTTCTATCAGGAGAGCCAGAGATAGCAACTGAAGAGCTGGAAGCGTGCTGGGTTACCATGGGACTCCGAAGATGTAAAGTGCCATAAACGCGGATTGTTAGGATGCATCAGGACGACCAGGATTCCAGGTGTAACGGGCAATGGGGAGTCTGGTCTGCAGTACACTGCCAATGCTGCCTTATTGGGCAGGTACCAGCCATTCATCTGTAGATCTCCCAGTACTTTAACAAACCAGGTCGGTAACATTGACCCCGCCCCCCAATTTTATAGATGGGGAAACTGAGGCACAGGTAGCTGAAGCGATTTGCCCAAGGTCATCCAGCAGGCCAGTGGCAGAGCTGAGAACAGAGCCCAAGTCTCCCGAGTCATAGTCCAGAGCTCTGTCCGCTAGCATAAGGGCGTATGAGCCCCAGCCCAAACCGCTTTGCTAGACTCAGCCCATTGCACGCACCCCATTTTGCTAGCCCAGCCAGAATGCACTGGCTTCTCCATGCCAGCCCACCAGGGCAGATATGCTTAGCTCTGAAAACTCGGCTACCAGTGTCTTCTAGCTCCCAGCCAGAGAGGGCCCCTTGCCTACACCCAGGTAACCAAATATAAATCCAGGCTGTACCCCAGCTTTGCTCTCCTACGCTGGCCCCACACAACCACGTTTGAGAACCTGGCTTTAGCCCTGGTAGAAGTGGAGGCCAGGAGGTGGCCCACACTGGCAAGAAAAAACACATTATTACACAGGTTAGCCACAGCCCTATTTAAACATGTTTACTCCTGCAGCCTATCTAGAGCTGCAGACCAGCCAGTCCATGCATGCCTGTGCTCTGGATCTGACTGCCACCACATCACCTATGGCAGAGAGATGGGGAGGCCACAGTAAAACCGTCCCCCAGCCCCACTTTAGGAAGTCACTGCACAGGCTACCTCCCACTGGGGGCAAGCGATACCCTATACAGCCGGGCCCAGCACTCCCCACTCAGAGTCAACCCCAGCTGTGATGCACGAGGCAGGTCATTAACAGAGAAGGCCCAAATCCACCAGCAACGGCTCTTCAGGGAGGTGACTCTCTCCTCTATCCCCACCGTCCCTGAACATAGTATTCTGCAAACACTACAGCCTCCCTCACCTTAAAGGCAAACTCAGAGCTACCAGCCCTCTGCTGTCTGTCCTTGCAGGGTCCCCAGCCCACAGTGTCCGGGTTACACATTAACACGCAACCGTCACAAGGCTGGGAGCAGGAGAGCAAAACCAGGCCAAGTGGCAGTAGTCAAGAAGCTTCCCCCCACCACTCAGGAAACTGCAGCTCCATGCCCCGCGTCTTGGGTGGAGGGGTGCACAAGTTCTTCCCAGGGTCACCATTACTGTCTCCCAGTGTGGATAAAAATCAATGATTTTAAAAAAATAATAATTAAAAAAAAAATCCGATTTTTTTGATAAAATGCTTTTTGAGAAAAAAAACTATCTAAAAATAGTGTTCATTAAGATACATTATAGCTCAAAGATATGGCATCATGGAACAGGGATTATAAACTCTAATTCGATAGTATGAGACAATATATTCATCTAATATTTACGAAACTTTTCTTAAACAAGTTCCAATAGCTCATGCATTAGGGACCCAATCTTTTGAGGTTCCAGGGGCTTCTGTATAGATTATTTAGGTTAATCTTTCTATCTACCCAACGGGACTCTGTGCTCAGTCTACAAGATACCATCAGAGATGCTTAGTTTTGAAGTTCTCAAACTGTGGATTTGTGTCTCCAAAGATAAAATGCTTGTTTACAGCAAAAGTATTTTTAAATAAATATATAGAGGTGAGAAATAACAGACCTCAACCCTATTGTCCCTCTGCAAATTTGTGTACACAGAGTCAATCCCTTACCTCTCTCTAAAAGTGCAAAGTTTCAAAAAGTTCAATGAATAGAAGATTGTTGGAGGCGGAATAGATCTGGACAAGGAGAAGAAGTCTGGAGAAAAACACGGGAAGGGAGGGACAGGCAGTAGAAACAAAAGTGAAACTGTTTGAACAGCATATTCCAGAAGTCTTGAGGTCTTTCTGAGTGTACCCTTCATTGATTTGAGATCTACCATACCATTATAGGGAAAACCTATAATGGCAGCAGGCCGTAAAAGAGACCCAGTTTGAAAATATTTTAATGAAGTTCCTCTACCTGTGGGTAAGACAGGCATGCGTACAAAATGCAAACAGTGCAACAAAGTAATGCAAGGCCTGGTTGCCTGAATGAAACAGCATCATGAGAAGTGTTCCTTCTCAGGAGGAAGCTGCGTTGAAGATGATGAAAGGAACATGTCTGAACATGCAGGATCTTCAGGTTGGTAACAACCAACAAGAATGCACTCTTATGTAGAAATCCATGATTAAATCGAGTCTTCCTGACCAGTGATTTAAATCATGATTTAAATCATATCCACCCTGCTGTCTCCTACACGGGGTTCACAGCCACGGATGTAGCTGCACCAGCACCCCCCCACCCCCAGCACAGCGTGTCTCCACTGGGAGTTTGCCCTGGCGGAGCTACACTGGTGGTTAAAATCCCCAGTACAGACAAGGCCCCAGCTGCACTTTCCAACTCCTACCATAGTGAGTAGCCCAACAGTTTGTGTTTTAGCAGCTCCCCAAGCTCCCCCCGCTCCACCTCCGGCATGTGGGTGCATCCCTAGCACACCAAAGCCCTAACCTGTGGCCTTTGGAGCCCTGACAGGAAGCTGGCACGTGACCCAGCTTGTGCAGTCTGTGACACGAGATCACTTACCAGATGGGAAATTAACTGACTTGTCTGGGACATCCTGTCACACACAGACACAAGCATGTAGGGCTTTCGCTAGCCAGGAAGATTATGGGGTAATGCTACATAATGAGTGGCTGCTAAAGAACACTCCTTTACTAAGGAGATTCCTACCAGATTAGCTGGCAAATCTGCCCAAATGCCAGGAGCCCCTGATGGGCACTATGTGGAATGCCACAGCAAGGAAGGATACTTGCCCTTATTTTAGAAAGCAAGGCCAGTCAGAAATAGCCATTACTTTTGGGTGGCTGCTGTCTGACTGGTGTAGGGGAGGGAGACCACACATTCCAGGGGCTGGGTAGAGGTGAAAGGTGCCAAGTTGAAGGCAGACTCCACCAACTGGCTGTAACTCCAGGAGCTAAATATTTAGTAAGTCAGAACAGACACCACACAAAAAAAGGTCAGTTTTTGGAAATACTTTGTCCCTGTTTCACCATCTGACCCCTTCCTTGGGGTGCTACCTATTAAGTGGCAATTAAAGAATTGGATTTGCTATTAGAATTTGAGACTAGTTAGGTTCCGCCCCCGCCACCCAAACAGACATGGTGTTGAACAAGTGTTTTGACTGTTACACCAGCTGTTAAACAAGCGTTCTTTTCAACAAACAATTCTAGAACGCCCTTTGCACCAGCCTTGAAATGGATTTCGAACAGCAGAGTCTGTGCTTCCAGGTCCCACTTTGCAGCAGTTATTTGTATGCCCATAACCTGCAGAGGCCCCAGCAGAGACTGGAACCCCATTGGGCAAGGGGGTGCACACACATACAGTGAACCATCTACATAGACAGGACACAGGGTGGGAGGGGAAACTGAGGCACGGATAAGCAAAGTGACTTGCCCAATGTCACCCAGCAGCTCAATAGCAGAGGCACGAATAGACTCCAGGTCTGAGTCCCAAGAACTGACAATTCAGAAGCCATTTCAAAGGGAGTCTCGGGAACCCAATGGGCACAGATGTCCACCAGCAGAGTGACGGAGAGAGATTGAGGCTATTGGGAATGCAGGAAAGCCGATGTCTGGCTTTCCCACATGCTGGCTAAAGCGCACAGGATACTCTGTGGGTAGCCCTCAAACCAAAATGCTTTCTTTGTAATATAGTTTATTTCAAGCCAACCCTAGAGGTAGAGGAAATGTAAGTGAGGCATCTCAAACTGGGTCAGACAAAAGTCAAAGGTGACAAGCAGGACAGGATCACACCTGTCAGGGACTGTCTACATTTTCTTGGTCCAGCCTCAGCACAGGGGGCTGGACTAGAGTAGATGACCTCTGGAGATGCCTTCCAGTGCTACATTTCTAGGATTCTCTCATGCTGGTCTGACCCTCAGGTCTGAAACACTCAGTCAGCCTGAGGTCACAGATTTAAGTCCCAGCAGTTTCAACTCAACCCATATTCCTTCCAAGGCATCTGTACATACCATCTACTCCAGGTGGGTCTCCTAGAGCAGTGTTTTTCAATGACCGGTCCCTGAGATCTCCCTGACACAGTTTAGGAAGGCAGCACGCTAGTCCCAGGTATCAAAACAGTCGAGGAATGCTGTTCTAGAGGAAAACAACGAGGAGTCCGGTGGCACTTTAAAGACTTTAAGGTGCCACCAGACTCCACGTTGTTTTTGTGGATACAGACTAACACGGCTACCCCCTGTTACTTGTTCTAGAGGAGACACTGAATGACATGAGCCCCGCCCGGGGAAGTTAAGAAACCCCCCCACTTCTGTGACTAATAAATTGGGGGTTTGCTCCCGTATCTGCTAGAATTCCACCTCCACCCCAGGCAGCACCCCCTTCCCACGGTACCCCCTTCCCACCGCAGAGGTGGCAGCAGTCCAGCAGCGCTGGCGGGGTATGGCTTTGTCAAGGCCACCGAAACATGGTGTGACTTTACGTGTCCCCGACAGCGATCCCCAAAACGCAGCCAGGTGGCACGAGAGATGCCAGGTTTGGTCAAAGGGCGATTCTACCTTTCCCTCCCCACAAGCCAACCAGCTCTGCACCATACTCACACTACCACGCGGCAGATTATCCAGGAGACCATGGCGCATCAGCAAGGGGGCCCCGGGCTTGCGGGCGGAGAGCAGCGGGCTCCTGCGGGGAGCAGCAGGCTGGGTGGCCACGGAGCGCTGGAGAGGGGCGGCGGAGCCTGGCAGATGCTGCTCGGCTGGGCTCCGGATTAGCTAATGCCGCAGGAATGCCTTGCGCTGGGTGTCTCTCGGGCAGAGCGGGGCCCTGCTCGGCTGGTTCCTCGCGGCTGCTGCCAGTTTCCCCCCGGGGGGTGCAAGGCAGGGCCTGCCGCTGACTTGTTCCCACTGGCCCCTGTGGCCCTGGCTAGCTCTGAACTGGCCCTGGCATCCCCTGACTGGCGGCCCCTTGCCCCGGGCTCTGCCTGCTGCTCCCTGGGCTGGGAAGAAGATGCTCTGCCTGCCCCTGGCTGCGGCTACCAAGCCCTGGGGGGGGGGGGAGCTTCTGCGAGCCCCGGCTGCTGCTCCCTGCGCTGGCCCAAGCTAGGGGGCTGCAGGCTCTTTCCTGGTGCGCCGGGGCGGAGTTTGCAGCCAGTTGAATGTCGCAGGGTGCAGCCGGCCGGCCGGCCGGCCAACCCCGGGCTGTGCACGCGCCGTGACGGAGCAGGAAGCGCTCCTTAAAGGGGCCTTGCTCTTAAAAGGGCCAGGGACGGCTCCCTCCGCCTGCAGGGTCCCTTTGCTTTCCGCAGCTGCTGCTCCGCCTTCTAATCAAAGTCAGCCACAGACAGAGAACTCGGGGCACCTCCCGCTGAATTAATTGTTCATGTGGCGGCGAGCGGGGTCCAATGCTTTTTAAATAAATAAATAAATAAATAGATTAAAATATAGGAACACAAAACATATAAACCACCACCACCCCAGCTGTCCCTGCAGTCCCTGGGAGCTGCGGGTGCTCGGTGGCTCTGCATTTCAGACTCAAAAACTGATGTGCCTCCAAACAGGTGGCTTTTGAAAACTTTGGCCTTTTTGCAAATCCAATCTCATGGGGTGAAAGGAACCAGCACTAGGACCCTTTGCGACCTAGCAGCGCTAACACTGAGCCTTCAAAAACCCAGGGTCAGCCTCCACCCCGCAAATCATGAGATTTTAAAACAAGAATACATTGGGGGTTCTCTTTTGTTACCTTCTGGCTTTTGAGCATTAAGGGTGCACTTGGGATACATTTGCAAGTGTTTCTCAGAAACCATAAGGGCTAAAAACTTACCTTTAAAAAAACAAAGCGAAAATTTTCAGGTAACCACATGAATCCTGGAGCTGAGGCTTTAAGAAAACAGCAAATATCACAAGACTAGAATTAAAATCACCTCCCAGTGACAGAGAATTCACCCCAGATAACAACAGATGTCACCAGGACCCCAACTCTCTGAGGCCCTGATTCAGCAAAGCACTTAAGTAAATGCTTAACAACTGTAACCACATGCTTAAGTCCCAGTGAGGTCAACTAGCTTAGGTGGACTTCATTGGGACTTAAGCGTGTGCTTAAAGCTAAGCATTGGCTTAAAGGTTTTGCTGAGATTTCAATGCCTTGTGGCTTTAAGAATGGTGTGGGTTGTTGCTAGGCAACAACTGCCAAGTTTTAAAAAG